TTTCCTGCTCCCCAAACGGTACCCTGCTTTTTCTGGCTTAATGTCTCAGAACTTTGGTGTCGTTGGGCTCAGACATCACTTTGCCATCCACTATCGGGTGGGTGGTGGTCTTTTGGATGGTTTGCATGGAGTTACTACTGTCCAGGGTGCCACCAAGATCGAAGTCGTCACCGTCTTCCAGCAGGTGGCAGAAGGTGGCAATCTCAGCCTCCAGCTTGACCTTGATGTTCAGCAGGGCCTCGTACTCCTGGGTCTGGTGCTGCCCCTTTGCCTTGGTCTGTGCCAGCTCTGGCTCTAGGTGCAGCAGAATCCTGTTGAGTTGCTCCATCTGCATGGCATACCAGGCCTCCACCTCCCTCAGGATGTTCTTCAAGCTCGCCTTCAGATTTCTCATCGAGTCCAGGTCAATCTCCAAGGACTGATCTGTATGTGAAAGCTCCGTTGGTGTCATTTCAGCAGCTCCAACCTTGGCAGACTGTGTGGTGACCACTGTGGTGATCTCGTCACTCTGCTGAGGCTGGTACTTCTCCAGCTCCTCCTGGTTCTTCTGAGCCAGCTCATCGTATTGGGCCCACATGTCTACCATGATCTTGGCGAGGTCCAGAGATTTGGGAGCATCTACCTTTATGGTCAATCCAGAGCTGGCAGTTTGGGCTTGTAGGCCTTTTACTTCCTCTTTGTGATTCTTCATGAAGAGCAGCTCCTTCTTGAGACCATCAATCTCTGTCTTCAGCTGTAGCTGAGTGACTTTGGAGTTGTCAGTGACCTTGCAGAGCCCATGGATGTTGCTCTCCACAGACTTGCACATAGCCAGCTCTGTCCATACTTGACTCTAAAGTCATCATCAGCAAAATGGGCATTGTTGATCTGCAGAATGATGCAAGTATTGTCTACAGTATTTGTGAAGATCTGAGCCCTTAGGTCCTCGATGGTCTTGAAGTAATGGACCCAGTCTCTGAGCTGGGTTCCCTTCTTTTCCAAGTGCTCCCAGATTTTGCTATCCAGCTTCTGGTTCTCAGTCTCCAGGTAGGAGGATAGGTGGTCTTGAGGCTTTGCATGGTCTCCTTCTCATTCTGGATGCCTCCCATTCCTGCCAAACCCCTGGCCATCTCAGTGGCCAGGCCCCTGGACCCCAAGCTGCTGCAGAAGCTGGTGGAGTAGGACATGGAGATTCAGGAACCAGAGCCCCCGGCACCTGCATAGACGCTGGCTGTGTTGCTGCCTGGCCAGGTGCCATAGCTGGACACCTGTACAGAGCCCAGGGATGGGTAGTTGGTGGAGAAGGTGAAGTGAGTGGTGAAGTTTATGCTGTCTGGGGAGGAAAGTGAGAGGAGAGGACTCAGTCTTTGCCAATGACCTTTAGTTGATTTTTATTTGTGAGATGAGGTTCTAATTTTATTCTTCTGAATGTGGATATGTAGTTTTTTTAAAAAGCACTGAAGAGAATATCCTTTCCTCATTGTGTGTTCTTGGCATCTTTTTAAAAAATAAATTGACCATAAGTTTGTAGCTTTATTTACAGACTATTTTATTCCATTGCTCTATGTGTCTGTTTTTATGCCAGTACTAGGATGCTGTTTTGTTTACTATAGGTTTGTAGCAGATTTTAACATCAGGTAATGTGATGGCTTCAGCTTTTTTTTTTTTTTTCTCCTTAATACTGGTCTGGCTATATGGGAGTCACTTGTGGTTTCATGCAAATTTTAAGATTGTTTTCTATTTCTGTTTAATATGTCATTAGAATTTTTAAAAATCTTTAGTGTTTTTTAAATTTATTTTTAAAAAATTTTTATTTTCAGTTTGGGGGTAAATGTGAAGGTTTGTTATATATGTAAAATCATGTTACAGAAGCTTGTTGTACAGAGTATTTTGTCACCCCAGTACTAAGCCTAGTACCCAATAGTGATTTTTCTGATTCTTTCCCTCCTCCCGCCCTGCTCCCTCAAGTAGGCCCTAGTGTCTGTTGTTTCTCTCTTTGTGTCCATGTGTTCTCATCATTTAGCTCCTACTTATAAGTGAGAACATGCGGTGTTTGATTTTCTGTTCTTGTGTGCTAAGGGTAATGGCCTCCAGCCCCATCCATGTTCCTGTATATGATATGATTTTGGTTTTTTTTTAAATGACTTCATAGTATCCCTTGGTATATATGTGCCACATTTTCTTTATCCAATCTGCCATTGATGGGCATTTAGGTTGATTCAATGTCTTTGCTATTGTGAATAGTGCTGCAGTGAACATTAGCGTGCGTGTGTCTTTATGGTAGAACCATTTATATTTTTTTGGGTATATACTCAGTAATGAAATTGCCGGGTGTAATGGTAGTTCCGTTTTTAGTTCTTTAAGGAATTGCCACACTGCTTTCCACAATGATTGAACTCATTTACACTCTCACCAGCATTGTATGAGCATTCCTTTTTTTTCTGCAATGTTGCCAGCATCTTTTATACTTTAACTTTTAAATAATGGCCTTTCTGACTCTTGTGAGGTGGTAACTCATTGTGGTGTTTATTTGCATTTCTCCGATGATCACTATTGAGCTTTTTTTCATGCTAGTTGACCACATGCATGTCTTCTTTTGAAAAGTGTCTGTTCATTCCTTTGCCACTTTTTAATGTGGTTTTTTGTTTTTTTCTTGTAAATTTGTTTAAGTTCCTTATAGGTGCTGGCTATTAGACCTTTGTCAGATGCATAGTTTGCAAATATTTTCTCCCACTCTGTAGGTTGTCTGTTTACTCTGTTGATGGTTTCTTTTGCTGTAAAGAAGCTCTTAAGTTTACTTAGATCTCATTTGTCAGTTTTTGCTTTTGTTATGATTGCATTTGGTATCTTCATCATGAAATTTTTGACTGTTTCTATGTCCAGAATGGAATTGTCTATGTTGTCTAGAAGACAACCTAGAGTGTTTATAGTTTTGGGTTTTACACTTAATGTTATATGTAGCCAAACTAAAATTCTTCAGTGAAGGAGAATAAGATATTTTTCAGAGAAGCAAATGCCAAAGGAGTTTGTTACCTCTAGACCTGCCTTATAAGAAATCTTGAAAGGAGCTCTAAATATGGAAAGGAAAGGCCATTACCAGCTGGTGCAAAAACACACTTAAATATACAGAATAGTGACACTATAGAGCAGCCACATAAACAAATTGGCAAAATAAGCAGTTAACAACACAATGACAGGATCAAATCCACACATATTAACATTAACCTTGAATGTAAACAGGCTAAATGCCCCATTTAAAAGTCAAGCTGTATAAAGAAATGACCCAGCAAATAGTATACTTTCTTCAAGAGACCAGCTCACATGCAATGACATGCATAGCCTCAAAATAAAGGGATGGAGGAAAATCTACCAAGCAAATGGAAATCAGAAAAAAAGCAAGGGTTGCAATTCTATTTTTAGACAAACTTTAAACCAATGAAGATCAAAAAGGACAAAGAAGGGCATTATATAATGGCAAAGGGCTCAATTCAATAAGAAGACCTAACTATTCTAAATATATATGCATCCAACACAGGAGCACCCATATTCATAAAGCAAGTCCTTAGAGACTGACAAAGAGACTTAGCCTCCCCCACAATAATAAGGAAAGACTTTAACACTCCATTGCCAGTATTAAACAGATAATGGAGGTAGAAAATTAACAAATATATTTAGGACCTGAAAATTTTTAATTTTTAATTTTGTGAGTATGTAGTATGTATATATATTTATGGGGTATATGGGATATTTTGATATAGGCATACAGTGTATAATATTCATAACCGCATGTATTTATCCTTTGTGTTACAAACAATTCAATTATACTCTTTTAGCTATTTTTAAATGTATAGTTAAATTATTATTGGAATTTTGAAATGATCCCATTAAATCTGTAGATGGCTATGGGTAGTATGAACATTTTAACAGTAATAATTGTTTTAATCCATGAACATAGGATATCTTTCTGTTTATTTGTATCTTCTTCAATTTTTTAAATCAATGTTTTATAGTTTTCAGGGTACAGTTCTTTCACCTCCATAGTTTAATTTATTTCTAAGTATTTTATTTATGCTATTGTAAATGGGATAGTTTTCTTGTTATCTTTTTTGAGTGGTTCATTATTAGCGTATAGAAATGTAACTGAGTTGTGTATGTTGATTTTGTATCTTCCCACTTTACCAAATTTATTAGTTCTAACAGGTTTGCAGTGGCATCTTTAGGGTTTTCTTTCTTTTTCTTTTTCTTTTTTTTTTGTTTTTTTTTTTCTTCTTGCCCAGGCTGGAGTGCAACAGCACAATCTTGGCTCACTGCAACCTCCGCCACCTGGGTTCAAGTGATTCTCTTGCCTCAGCCTCCCAAGTAGCCGGGATTACAGGCGTGCACCACCATGCCTGGCTAATTCTGTATTTTTAGTAGAGATGGGGTTTCACCATGTTGACCAGGCTTGTCTCAAACTCCTGACCTCAGGTGATCCATCTGACTCGGCCTCCCAAAGTGCTGGGATTACAGGCATGAGCCACCGTGTTGGCGGGTTTTTTCTATGTAGGATTATTTCATCTGCAAACAGGGACAGTTTAACTTCTGCCTTTCCAATTTAGGTGCTTTTTGTTTTTCATCTTTTTGCCTAACTCTGACTGGGACTTCTAGTACAGTGTCGAATAGAAGTGGGAAGAGTAGGCATCCTTGTCTTGTTTCAGCTCTTAGAAGGAATGCTTTCAACTTTTCACCCTTGAGTATGATTTAAGCTGTAAGCTTGTCATATATGGCCTTTATTGTGTTGCTGAGGCACATACCTGCTACACGTAATTTGTTGAGAGTTTTTATTTTGAAAGAATGTCGAAGTTGTTCAGTGCCGTTTCTACTTCTGTTGAGGTGATCGTAGGGTTCTCGTCCTTCATTCTGTTAATGTGGTGTATGATATTATTGTTTTGGTTATGTTGAACCATCTTTGCACCTTAGGGATAAATCTCACTTGATCATGATGAACCATTCTTTTAATGTGTTGTTCAATTTAGTTTTCTAATATTTTGTTTAGAATTTTTATGTCTATATTCATCAAGGATATTGGCCTATAGTTTGTTTTTTTATAATGTCTTGTGTGACTTTGATATCAGAGTAATGTTGGCCTCATAAATATGTTTAAAAGTATGCACACTTCTTCAATTTTTTGAAAGAGTTTGAGAAGGATTGGTATTGGTATTAGTACTTCTTTAGATGTTTGGTAGAATTCAGTAGTGAAGCAATCAGATCCTGGGATTTTATTTGATGGGAGACATTTTATTACTGATTCAATATCCTTCCTTGTTATTGGTCTTTTCACATTTTCTTTTACCTCATAATTTAGTCTTAGTATGCTGTATGTGTCTAGGAATTTATTAATTTCTTCTAGGTCATCCAATTTTTTGGCATATAACTGTTCATAGTAGACTCATGATCATTTGTATTTGTGTGGTATTTGTGTAATACCTTCTCTTTTGTTTCTGATTTTGTTGTCTTTTTTTTTTTCTTAATCTACCTAAGGGTTTGTTGATCTGTTTTATTTTTTTAAAAAAACAACTTGATTTTATTGAATGTGTCCTTTTTGTCTAGTCTCTATTTATTTCTGCTTTGAATTTTATTATTTTCTTCTTTCTGCTTACTTTTGGTCTAGTTTGTTCTTTGTCTAGTTCCTTGAGATGTAACGTTAGGCTGTTTATTTGAGATCTTTCTTTTATTTTGATGGAGGCAGTTATTGATATACACTTTCCTCTTAGAACTGATTTTGCTACATCTTATAAGTGTCAGGATGTTGTGTTTCTATTTTTATTTTGAGATTTTTTAAATTTTCTTTTTAATTTCTTCTTCGACCATTTTGTTGTTTAAGAGCACGCTGTTTAAATTCCTCACATGTCTGAATTTTCTGAAGTTCCTCGTATTATTGATTTTTTGTTTCATATTATAGTGGTTGGAAAAGATGGCTGATATTATTTTAGTTTTCTTAAATTTATTAAGATGTGTTTTGGGGCCTAACATATGATCTGTCCTGGAGAATGTTCCACTTGTGCTTGAAAAGAATGTGTAATATGCTGCTGTTGCATAGAATGTTTTGTATGTCTGTTAGGTCTGTTTGGTGTAAAGCGTAGTTTGAGTCCAGTGTTTTCCTTATTGACTTTCTGTCTGGATGATCTGTCTGCTGTTGAAAGTGGAAATATTGAAGTTATTTGTTATTATTTTACTATAGTCTATCTCTCCCTTCATTTGTATCAATATTTGCTTTATATATATATATTTAGGTCCTCTGGTTTTGGTCACATATATATGTGTGTATATGTGTGTATATATATATATATATATATATATATGTGTGTGTGTGTGTGTGTGTGTGTGTGTGTGTGTGTATTTACAATTGTTATGTGCTCTTGAAGAATTTACTGCTTTATCACTATATAATGGCCTTCTTTGTCTCATTTTACAGTTTTTGACTTTTAATTCATTTTATCTAAGTATAGCTATACATAATTTCTTGGTTTCTATTTGCATGGAATATATTTTTCCATCCTTTTAGTCTTAATTTATGTGTGTCCTTATAGGTGAAGGTGAAGTAAATCTCTTATAGGAAGAATATAGTTAGGTCTTGTGTTTTGATTCATTCAGTCAATCTGTCTTTTGATAGGAGAAGTTAAATCATTTACATTCAAGGTAATTATTGATAGTTAAAGACTTACTGCCATTAAAAAATATTTTCTGATTGTTTTATAGATTCATTTCTTCCTTTCTCTTTTATGATTTTCTTTTGTAAGTAGGTCATTTTCTCTAGTGGTATTTTTGATTTCTTACTCTCTACCTTTTGTATATCTACTTTAGTTTTTTGTTTTGTGACTACTATGAGACTTATATAAAACATATTATAGTCATAATGGGCTATTTTAAGCTGATAACAAGTTAACTTTGATTATATTACAAAATCCTACACTTTTTCTCCACCCTTCTCTCCCACATTTTATACTTTGCTGTTACAGTTTACATCTGTTTTTTTCTATATCTCTCAGGAAATTATTGTAGCTATTATTTTTAATAATTTTGTCTTTTAACTTTCATACTAAAAATACAAATGATTTACACACCATCATTACATCATCAAAGTATTCTAAATTTAAGTACTCACTGTACTTTTATCAGTGAGTTTCATACTGTAATTTTTTTTGTTGTTTGTTTTGGTTTTTGAGATGGAGTCTTGCTCTATCACCCAGGCTGGAGTGCAGTGGTGCCATCTTGGCTCACTGCAACCTCTGCCTCCCAGGTTCAAACAATTATCCTGCCTCAGCCTCCTGAGTAGCTGGGCCTACAGGCATGCACCACTACGCCTGGCTAATTTTTTGTATTTTTAGTAGAGACGGGGTTTCACCAGGTTGGCCAAGCTGGTGTTGAACTCCTGACCTCAAGCAATCCGCCTGCCTCAGCCTCCCAAAGTGCTGGGATTAAAGACGTGAGCCGCTGCCCCCGACCTGTTGTTTTTATGTTGCTACTTTTTGTCTGTTTGCTAAGTTTAAAGTATTTCCTTTAGCATTTCTTTTAGGGTGGTCTGGTGATGTTGAACTCATTTAGCTTTTGCTTATCTGGGAAAGTGTTTATCTCTTTTTTTTTGAAGGACAGATTTGCTGGACATTCTTGATTGGCAGTCCCCTCCTCCCCCTGCACTTATATCACTGGACTCTTTACTGGCCTATAAGGTTCCTGCTGAGAAGTGTACTGCGAGCCTTATTGGAATTCCCTTAAATGTGATTGCTTTTTTTCTCTGGCTGTTTTCAGAATTCTCTCTGTCTTTAATTTTTGACAGTTTGATTATAATATGTCTTGCTGTAGTTTTACTTGGATTGAATCTGCTTGATGACCTTTTACCTTCCTATACCTGGATATTTGTATCTTTCCGTAGATTTGGAAAGTTTTCTGTTATTATTTCTTCAAATAAGCTTTCTGGCTCTTTGTCTTTTTATTCTTTCCAAAATTCTATAACGTGAATATTTTATCTTTTGATACTATCTGATAAATCCTTTAAGCTTTCTTTATTCCTTTTCATTCTTTTTCTTTTATTCTGACTGCATTTTTAAAAATAACTTGTCTTTGAGTTCACAGATTCTTTCTTCTGCTTAATCAGTTCTGCTGTTTATGCTTCTCTATTGAGTTTTAAATTTTATTCTTTGTGTTTTTCAGCTTCATAATTTTTTTTGTAATATAATTTTAATCTCTGTTAAATTTCTTGTTTTGGTTATACAGTGTTTTCCTAATCTTATGGAATTGTTTCTCTATATTGTATTGAAGTTTGCTGAGCTTCCTTAAAAGAATTATTTTGAATTCTTTCAAGCAGTTTGCATATCTTCATTTCTTTAGGATCACCTATTGGGAAATTATTGTGTTCTCTTGGTAGTGGTATGTCTCCCTGGTTTTTTATGTTTCTTGTTGCCTTATGTTAATATTTGCACATTTGGTGGAACAGTCACCTCTTCTAGATTTTATGGGCTAGTTTTTCTGTGGAAAGACCTTCTTTTATGTGGGGCATCCAGGAAACTTGCTGAGTGGGGGATATAGCAATTCTAGCACCAGTGAGGGTGCAGCTGTGTATGTCTCTGTAAATCTGTCAGCTGAGGTCAATGTTGATGCAGATTGCAGTGATACTCAGCAGCTGATGCTGTGGATGTCCACAGTGGCCCTGAGGGTTTCTGGGTTTTTTATGATAATGGCAGTTAAGGTCCTCCTGATCTCTTTTTCCACTGAGGAAGTTGTGGCTCAGGGGATTTCCATTGGCACTGGATTTGGCTTTCAGGCCCACTTGCAGTTTGGTGTGGCATTCGTGTCTGATCGGTGGTGCCCATGGAGCAGCCATGGAGCTGAGGCCCAAAGCACAGGCACACAGGGAGGGAATATGGCTCTGGGATCTGGGGCATAATGGCACTGGTGTCCAGTATGCAGCCATTCTGTCACATTGATAACAGTATGTAAGGCTCAGATTCTTGTAAAGTAGCTGGGGAGTCAAAAACTAGAGCACAAATGTGTGCAGTTACAGTGGCTTTGGAGTCAGAGCAGGGCCTAGCTCTCTGTGGTGGCTGAGCTGGTGCCTGGAATGCAGTCATGCACAGCAAGAGCTTAACTCTAGATCCTGGGGTACAAAGTAGCTTGCTATGATAATAACAAGCTTCAGTGTCTGAAATGCTCCAGTGTCTGAAATGTGGACGAACCTAATGCAGCCACAGAGTCCAGGTCTAGAGTGTGAGGACTCAAGAGGTGTCCAGAGTTGACGCACATATGGGATTTGGAGAGTTGGTAGCTCCTTTCTGAAGCAGCTCAACAGTAACCACTTCTTGGGTTGGAGAAGTGTGTGTAGCTGTGTCTTCCTCTCTGGGGTTCCCTATGAAGAATACTGGTTTGTTATCTTAGTGGCAAAAGATAGTGTTGTCATCTGCAGAACAGGCTGCTGAGGACCATGGTGGTCTCCGCCACATGGCTGATACAGGCAGCCTCTGCTCTTCCTCTATTCCTGGCAATCTCCTGGCATCTCAGATATACTGATCTTACCAGTAATTTATTTTCTGTGTGTATATTTTTTTGCTCCACTGTATTATTGCAAAATCTTTGATAGGATCTTAGGGACTCTGGGATATTTTGTTTGTAGTTAGCTCTCTATGTTTATTTTGGGGGGGGATGCTAAAGGGAGAAGGCTGATATCTCCTACTCTGCCAATGTGGTTACATCTCTATTATTTATTCCTTCTTTTAAACACCAGTTGAACACCAGCTCTAATGAACTGGGCATTGAGTATATAAGGTACAGTGTAGACTCAGGCCCTGCCCTAATTGAGTGAGTTTTTAAAAATAAGTTTACAAAGAGGAGTATGACATTATTGGCATTAGCAAATCTGATCATGTAACACTTCTGCCCAGAGTTTTTCCAGGGGCTTCTAATTAACTACAGGATGAACTATCACTTTCTTTGCATGCAGTCAAAGGCTTTCATAACCTGGACCATTCTCTGTCTGTGATCAATTTCTCGACTCCCCCACTCCCATCTTTAGTAACTGGTATTTTAGAAAACCCAAATGAATTCCCCAGAGTGCATTGTGCTGTTACTGTTGTTTCTGTGCTCCTACATACAGGGTGTCCTCTCTTGGAATATACTTTTTTTCCCAATAAGATAGACATGGGATTTCTTTTGACTAGACTTAATGTGCCCCTTGTAAAACAGTTGTCTTAGTGTATTGTGCTTACTTACCAGTCTCCATTATCTTTACATATATAATTTTTTTGAGATGGAGTTTCACTCTTGTTGCCCATGCTAGAGTGCAACGGCACTGTCTCGGCTCACCACAACCTCTGCCTCCTGGGTTTAAGTGATTCTCCTACCTCATCCTCCTGAGTAGCTGGGATTACAGGCATGTGCCACCACGCCCAGCTAATTTTGTATTTTTAGTAGAGATGGCGTTTCTCCATGTTGGTCAGGCTGGTCTCGAACTCCAGACCTCAGGTGATCCGCCTGCCTTGGCCTCCCAAAGTGCTGGGATTATATGAGTTAGCCACCACACCCAGCTGTCTTTATGAGTTTTTTGAGGGCCGTACTGTGTGGCTGCATGTTGTTTTACTCTTGGCCTCTAGCATAGTTTTAAACGCATCCATTAAGTCAATATCTGAGGGACAGGAGATACAGTGACAAACAGACAAGGCTCCTGCTGTTAAGGAGTTACTAAAAAAGAAAACAAGTAAATGGGATGATATTTGATAGGAGCCATGCAGGAAATAGAAAGGATTTATTTAATTTTGATATCCTTGATGCTGTGATAGGGAATGATGGTGGTGGATAGAGGGAGACACTTATTTACATAGGCATTTCATGGAAAGCCTCATTGGGGAGGTAATATCTGAGCTAAGGTCAAAAGTATGAGAATACAACCACATGAAGAGCTTGGGTGAGTGTTCAAAGCAGAAGAAAAAGCAAGTACTTGATATTTTGCAGGAATCGAAAGAAGACCAGAGTGGTTGAAGCACAGGGGGAAGAGTGGTTCGAGATGTGTCTGGAGAGGTAGGCAGGAGTTGGATCATGCAGGCTTTTGTCCACCTTCAAATATTTCTTGAACTAAATGTGTCAAATCTGAAATCTAATTCTGCACGTATTGTCCTTAGCCTTCAGTATAACTTTAGACTTCCTTTCTCTCCAGCTATGTTCCCACTGGAGCCACTGCAATAAGAGTAAGAGTGTCATACATTTCTCTCTTCAGTCTTATTAGTGGAATTTTACCAGATCTGGAAACATTAAGGGAAACAACTTGTTTTCAATGTTTGGTCTTATGGGTAGGCCCTTAACAACAGCCATATCATAATGAATTCAGGATGATGTGAATGATGATTGCAGAGGAACTGGATATACACAGTTCATACAGACCTCTAAGCAAAGCCCTAGATGGAGCTCCTTTCATTTGCTTCTGGTTTTTGTCTCAGTATGATCCAGGGAGCTAAAATAACTAAAGAAGAGCTCCATTTCCAGTGACCAGTTCAGTCTCTGCGCTAGCAGAAAGTTAGTGTAGAATCCAATGCAAAGATCACATGTAAATTCTAGAAATTTTACTACATTTTTTTCAGAGATGACAAGGCAATTTCCTCCTTCCTTCTTTCCTGAGTACTGAAGGATATAACTGCTCTTCTGAAGAATCTGAAAGGCTTCAGGATAACAGTAAAGTGGACAACACATTCTTCTTCCAGCTGCTGCTGTTCACAACACTTTTGACAGTTAAAATACATCACATATTCTCTTGTCCTTTTAATGTAAACATTTACTGTTTTAAGTGGACTGTAGAATCAAACCAAAATAGAAGGATGCAGACTGATGTTTCAGAGGTGCAGCTAAGCACTAGACCAAATTAAATAAGAGCAATTTGCAATCTAACATGTAGTTATAATACTTATTGCACATTATACCCTGTTTGTCACTGGGAAATATGAAACAGAGGGCTTTCATTGCTTGCTCTATTTTTTTTTTTAACTTTCTTATATCTTGTTTTTTTAAATTGCGTTTTAGGTTTTGGGGTACATGTGAAGAACATGTAAGATTGTTGCATAGGTACACACATGGCAGTGTGGTTTGCTGCCTTCCTCCCCATCACCTATATCTGGCATTTCTCCCCATGTTATCCCTTCCAACTCCCCACCCCCTGCTGTCCCTCCCCTGGTTCCCCCCGACAGACCCCAGTGTGTGATGCTCCCCTCCCTGTGTCCATGTGTTCTTGTTGTTCAACACCCACCTACGAGTGAGAACATGTGGTGTTTGATTTTCTGTTCTTGTGTCAGTTTGCTGAGAATGATTGTTTCCAGGTTCATCCATGTCCCTACAAAGGACACGAACTCATTGTTTTTGATGGCTGCATAGTATTCCATGGTGTATATGTGCCACATTTTCCCGCTGCAGTCTATCATTGATGGGCATTTGGGTGCTTGATCTATTTTTACAACCTGTTACTAGAAAAGAATTTCATGTAGAACAGGCAAAGTTTTGAATTAGAATTAAGTTAAAATGGAAAAAGTAGTAAGGTCAGAGTAGCCTCCTTGGTGTAGATTTTCTCCTACGCTTAAGCATTGTCTGAAAGTCAAGGAAATGATAGCATCTCTAGTTTTTGTTGTTTGTTAATTTCCCCAGGAAAAACTTGACCTCCTTCTTTCTTATTTCGTTGGCATCTGTCTTAAGCCTTTACCTTCAGCTCTTATAGCTTCTTTCAAATTGTATTAAATTTGAAGACTAAGAACCTTCAAAATGACCCACATTTGAATCCTGGATCTACCCCTAAGCTGACCTGTTTTATTTTTAAAAAATGGTTATGAAATTTTGCTTGGAATCCTAGAAGTTAAAAATGTGACATCCTATAGAATGCCATTTCACACAGGAAAGTCTGGTCCCCTTAAAGTTAGTTTTACTCTGAGAGGAAAACTTACAAATGAATACAGGTTCAAGTTTGTTCAATTTCTTGTTTTGCATAATATTTACCTGCATAACACATAAATTCATCAAAATCCTTTCCTAGTGACAATACTTCATTAGATTACTTTAGTGAGTATTCAGGAGATTTTCATCTTATGAGTCATAAAATTCTTTTATTCCCCAAAGAATTTCTGGTGTCTGACTGGAATTTCACGTCTTTGTAGTTTTAGCTGGACTCTTTGAAGCGGTTACTTCCTAAATGATTGTATTCTTGAGGCCTGTATGTAATACCTGGGGAGCCAGGTCACAGGTTGACTCCTGTTTTTCAAGAAAATTGAAAAATTAATCCGTTTCATTGCTTTAGTCTTAGTAATTTTGTTCAGAAATTTTCTTAAACTTTTTAACCTCCTCCTGTAATGACAGAGATGTTTTCACTTGCTGCCTATACAGTTTTCCAGCATTAATTGTTTTGTGCCTGCTTAGGACCATTTTTTTCTATTTCTGTGAACACACCCCAGCGATTTGATGTTAGTATGTTGCTTGCCTGTCCCATCAGGTTTTCATCACTCACTTGGTATAAAGGAAAAGGGGATAGAATTACAAACATACTAGACCATGTAGCTATTGATGAGAAATGTCTTTGGATATCCTTTTCACTTCTTCTTCTTCCTTTTTTAAAGTTCTTTTTGAAAAAGGTGAAAGTCGGGTTATAGTGGAAAGCCAGAACGATTGTGTGTTCCTATTTGAAAAATTCTGTGAACATTATACTTTTTGACATGTGAGTTTCAGAAATTCTTAGTGATTATTATAACACACACTCCGCTTATGTGCAGAGCTTCTTCTACATGTGCCTGTCTTTGTGTGTTTTAAAAGATAGTGCCTAACTCTTCTGTTCATAAATGGCAGTAACTGACTATGTACAGAGGAGACTGAAGCCTGAGTCTGGGTGTGCTATTTGGCTACATTCAACCAGTATGGGACAAACAAAAAATGTAAGGCTGGTAGAATATTTACACTATTAAATTGTTCAGAAGTTAGTTACTAGGAAATCTTTTACTAGACTTCAATATCTTTGGTTTTTTAAAGAACAAATCTAAAATTTTACCCCAAAAGCTAGGTACTTACATATTATTTCTATTGTGGCTACCTTCAGCACATAACTTTTTAAAACTTTTAAATGAATAAAAGAAGTGGTTCTGTCTATAAACCACAAAGAAATATACCAAGTTAATGTTTTAGCTTGTTGATTAGTATATTATCTTGAAAGTAGAAAAAAAAAGCAATACAAAATTACTTGCTATTCACATATTTGCAGAAAATATAAGTCCTTGGAATGTAGCACATATTATTATTACATAATCTATATCCATATGCTGCAATGTTAGACCCTTAAGAAAAGAACCAGATTCTGGCACAGGACTGTTTTATGGTAAGGAAAGATTAATGGATTCCAAAATTTAAAAAGGGGGAAAAAGCTTGATGGTTCCACAACAAAATAAGAGAGTTGAAAGGGGGGTTTAGAGATATATATGTTAACACAAGGTGACAATTAAAGCAGTTAATTTCCTTATTTATCTATATCCCCTCCTAGCTCTTCTAATCCTGACTAAGGCAAATGGGTTGACTCATCTTTTGAGCAGATGAAGATAGGAACAAAGATATCTGGCATTGCTGCCTGTCTCCCCATCCCCTGTAAAAGTGTGTTTTTTTGTTTTGTTTCGTTTTGTTTTGTTTTGTTTTGTTTTTGCTATCAGTTAGAGTAAGTTCTTAAAGCAGTCAGAGACAGATCTGTACCAGTCAGAGATGCAGTGGTGCAAGCCTGTTAGCCTAATTGCTTTGAATACGTTGCTAATGATGCTAGGGCCACATGTTAAATAGCCAATGTAAGCATTTTTTTTTTTTTTTTACAGTGTAAAATGTCTTTCTCCAGACAAATATTGCTCCCCAACCCTTTTATATGTAAATCTGAGATAAAGGGATTTGTGAATATGACAGTGACTCATTAAAAATATATTCTGAGTCCCTTAGGATAACTTATTAAACAACAAAATAATAAGTGTTGGAGAGGATGTGGAACAATTGGAATATTGTTCATTACTAGTGGGCATGTAAAATGGTACACTCAATGTGAAAACAATATGTCAGTTTCTCAAAAAATTAAACATAGAATTGCCATATAATCCCATAATTCCACTTGTAGTTATATATCTAAAAGAAATGAAAGCAGAGACTCAAACAAGTATTCTCCAGTGTTTTTAGCAGCATTATTCATAATAGCCAAAAGGCAGAAACAATTCAAATATCCATTGATGAATGGATAAACAAAATTGTGTATAATAAAATGAATTATTATTTAGTCTTAAAATGATTTGAATTCTGATACATGCCACAACACTGATAAACACTGAAAATATGATGCCAGGTGAAATAAGCCAGAAACAAAAAGACAAATGTTTTGTAATTTCACTTAAATAAAGTACCTAGAATAGTTCAATTTATACAGAGAGAAAGTAGAACGGTGGTTACCAGGACTGGAGAGAAGGCATCTGGAGAGTTATTATTTAAAGGGTTCTGATAATCAGTTTGAGAAGATAAAAATAGCTCTGGAGATGGATGGTGATACTACTTGCACAACAGTGTGAACGTATTTAGTACCATTGAACTGTATACCTAAAAATAGCTAAAATGGTAAACTCTTTGTTATGTATATTTTACAATAATAATGTGTATACATTTTATATATTATCTAATGTTATTTACCTTCATTTTTATTTAATAATAGCTATTTTTAAAAGTTTTATATAAGAATTTTCTAAAACTATCATAACTAGAGATTTGTATTTATTTCTATTGGTTTTTGTTGTTGTTGTTGTTGTTGTTTTTTATAGAGCCAGGGTCTCACTGTGTTGCCTAGGCTGGTCTTGAACTGCTGATCTTGAGCCGAGGATCAAATGATCCTTCTGCCTCAGCATCCCAAAGCACTGGGATTATAGGCATGAGCTACCTATACCTAGAGATTTAAAAGAGAGAAATTAGACTTTGAGGCACAATGGCAAAATGAAAAGACATCATTTGTACTCTCCCAATTTTCAATTAAAATAAAGGAGATAAAACATATTTTAAACTTTGAGAATTTCTGCCAGATAAAGTAGACTAGAATGTGATTAATGGAAGATACTAAGGGAAAATTTATCCTTCTTCATGAGAAAGTGGTATAGTTGTAAGTTAGAGTGTTCCTATCAGAACACAAATAAATACTTCTGAAGTTGGAGGGTTGACAGCTAGAGGCCAGGTTGGTCCATGGGACACATGAGGAACTTTCTATTTGGGAAATCCTTTAAACACTGTGGAACAATTACATTGAGAAGCAACTGAATGGAAATGTCTAAAGGCAATTACCATTACACAACACAAGAGGTATTTGGACCTTTGCCTGCTGGGCCAGACAGTAGCTAGCAATCAAATGGACACCAGACACAGCCTAATCATGAACATGGACAGGAGGCCAGCTCAGAGAGTAATTTGAATGTGGAAAAATGATCCTTGGCATAAAAGATTTGCTAAACACAGTGAAAGGTATACAGAGACCAATATCCTCAATGAGGACGACCTGTACCACTTGGTGTCAGCTATTTCCCTCAATGTACTAGATCACCCAACTGGTGGTGTAAAATTAAATTAGTTAAATTTCTAGCACTCCATATAACAGTACATAGGTGCATATACAACAGTACATACATGTTACTACTTCTAACAGTATGTAGGTGGGCAATAACGTATGGAAGGGAAATATGATCATATTACTTTGGGGCCAATAGCAGGCCTAAGTATACCTCTTCCCATTGATGTGGGAAAAAGAAAACAAACATGGCACCTACAAAATATTCTGCAATGTAAGCAGATGAAAACAACAAAGCTCTAGAGGGAAAATATATACATGTTAAAAATATTTATTACTGAAAAATATTTGTACTCTCAAGAAAAGATTTTTAAAATTCTATGAAAGGAGTGAAAGATGAAATGTGATCACAGACTAAGATATAATAGAGCTGGTAGAATCAAGAAAATCCTGGAGAGAAGCTAGCAATTCTATAGCAGAATTGGAAACCTCACTAGAAGCAGTGAAGAACCAAATTGAACCTACTAAATATTTGATTAATAATGTGGAGGACCACTTGAGAAACCGTTCTGTAATGCAGAGGAAAAGGAAAATGATTGGAAAATTTTCAGCAATAGGATGATAGATGTGGTCTATAGAAAACAAGGATCTGACTAAGAGGAAAATTGGTATCCTTCAAGAAGAAAACAGAAAAAAATAGAACAATAAAGGAAACAACAGTAAGACATACATGAAGAAAGACAGGAATTTCAAGTTTTAAAGACACATTTACTATGTGTCTATGAGAATTAGTGAAAAAATAGCAGCACCTAGACATATTCTGGTGAAATTTTTGAATTTCAAGAAGCAAAACTCACAAAAATACATTTTAAGCTTGTGAACAGAAAAAACAAATCTCTGAAGGAACAAAAAATCAGCCATGTTTCGGATATCTTTTCAGCCTTATTCATCAAAAGACAATGAAACAATTTGGCTTTTGCTTTGAGAAAGAGAAAATTGTAATGCCTAAATTCTATATCCTGTCAAATTTATTCCTTTATGAAAGAATAGGGAGATATTCTTAGGTGTAAGTGATTTAGGAAGCATATTGTTTACATACCTTTCTTGAAAAAAATTACCAAATGAAATATTCCATGCAGCTTAGAAATGAACCAAAATAAAGACCTCCATTATGGAGAAACTGTAGCATATAAGCATATTTATGAGCATTAAAACAATAAACATAGAATTAAGTTTAAGTCATTGTTTTACATATAGAATTCCCAGAAAATACAAAGTCAAACAGGATTTTTGGAAGCACAGGTACAACAGGTTAAAATGGATAGTTTCACAAGTAATAACTTGAGTCAAAAAATTCCAGATTATGCCAACCAAAACAGTAGAATTAGGAAAGAATGGTGTGACAGTAAGTAATGTGTCCTGATTTTCTCTTCTTACACAAAAGGTTTTCAACAGATGCTGTCAATAATGTATAATTAATACAAGTGAACTTATAATATATTTGAAATATTGAAGGTAATTCTAAAAATAAAAATACAATATATGTTTTCCAACTCACGAGAGAAAAACTCCAGTGTATCCTCAGTTAAGGAAACAATTTAAGGAAAAGGGAAATCACAATGACATATAAAATCAGAAAATAAGATGACAAAAGTTGAGATGAAGTAGATCCATTTCTATATAAATATTAGGGATAAACTTTCCCTTTAAGAGATAGATAGATATCAGGTGTAAAGAATCAAGTTTCTTTAAAGGAATACCCTATCTAAAAAGGATGCTGAAAGCAAAATAACACAAAAGTTAAAAATGGAGGGATGGCAACAATATATCAAACTAAATTAAAATGGAACATCATCTAACTACTTTTAAAAAATAGAACTTCTTGAATGATTCTTGGATAAATAAGCCCACAGACCTGGGAACTATCACTCTGGCTTTTCTGAATTTCATCACCCTCCTGCTTCAGTGTGATGCTTTTCTCCAAGGTTGTTGTATGATGTTGATAGCTTTCCTAGCTTTCAGGACTGAGAAAATATTTTCAAATTCTCAAAAACTCATTTTGTTTCATTTGGTTTCTGCTAAGGGAAATCTTTAAGTTCTCTACACTGCTCCCTTCCCCAGAGTTGCTATTTGGCTTTGGATTCTGCTTGTCTCCAGGATTCTTTTAGCTTCCTATCCTGCAGCCCACCAGTAGATGACCCATTCCACTTGTATATCTCTGGTGCCTCACTAGATATGGCAGTTCAGGTTTTCTGTACCACCTGATCTACAGGGAGTTCTTGATCACTTCCCTTATTTTCAAAGATCTTGGCATATTCTTTAAAATCCTCAGCGGAGGAGAGTCTTTGTAGTTTGAGGTGCTTACTTTTCTAAGTATGCTCAAATTACTTTTGCAGCAGTCTTTTATGGAATCTTTTGGCTTAAGGGCTCCTTATGTTGTGTGTGAGGTCCACCCTTTTTCCATTTTTTTTTTTTTTTTGAAAACTAAACAAGTGGAATTTTACTGTCTGCTTTGTATCCATACCTGGGAGCTAGACCTACACATCCATGTCTATATCTGATTTCAAGCTCTTGACTCTATCCCCTAATTTCTGTCCAGCTCCTTTGGAATTGGCATTTCTCCTTTGATCATTCTGCCCCAATTCTGGTGTCTGTCTCCTGTAGGATTTAGCTTGGATCTGCCCTTCTACCTGTGTTACGGTATATCCTTTAAATCACTTTGTCCACCCAGGATGCAGGCAGCTTAATATCTGGCTGGGAAGATAAGTCCAACATGATAAGACAACAGATAATATCATCGAGTAAGGTTTAGGTTGTATAATAGGTGTTGATAGATGTCATAGCCATTCAGAAATAGTGAAGAATAGTTATGGAAAGCTTCAGTGAACAGATGGGACTTGAACAACATAATAATGAATGTTGGAATTTGGATGTCAAAATTCCAGTCCAGTGAAGGAGCATGAATGAAGGAGGAAGGTGGGAAGGAGCTTGGCATATTGATGTAATCATGAAGATCCTCCTCAAAATACTCTATTTTCCTTCCATTAGTGAGATAGCAAATAGGAGGCTGTTGAAGATTGTTTCTGTCTGGAGGTTACTATCATATAAATCCCTTACATGTGTGTGGTGATTAGCTATTTTAAATGCATTCATATAATTATATCACTTGGTCCTCATAACAGCTTTGTGAAATAACAGATGAGTAAATCACATCCTAAATATCTTGCCAGAAGTTTCATAGCTCATGCAGAGTAGAGCTGGGATTGATTTAGGCAGTAAGAACCTTGCATCTGGGAGACCAATTAGATGTTTTCTAGATAGAAAATGGTGGGGCTCCAAATTTTGATGGTGGCTGTGGAATGGAAATTAGAGGTAGGCTCCATAGCACTTAATGACTAAGTGGATATAGGAGTACCACAGATGTGCTTTGAATATCAGTAACTAAAAGAGTGGTGATACCATAATTAAGAGACAGGAAAATATATGGAAGTCCAGTCCCTGATTTGTAATTTGAAGCCCACTTTTTTTGTTGTGTAAGAGGCGGTAAAGATCTCTTTCTGACTCATTGCACCTTGTTTAAAATTTTTTGTGTTGCTTTTCCGTCTTTTGGCTGAGATCAAATATGCATTTTTAAATGTTTTTCATATATTTCTAGACTGTTTTGAGTTTACTCTTTAGTATTTTCTTTTCCAGGCTACATAATTCTAGCTCCTAGTTCATTTAGCCATTTGTATAGGGATTTTTAATGCTTTTATTATATTTGTGAATATTTTCTGAATCTTTTCCAGTTTCTCCACATATTCTCTTGATGTTAAATCCAGATTTGGACATAATACTTTGCCAGAGTTATAGCCTGAGCAATATTGATTTTGAGCAAAGAGTAGTACATCAAGTTTCTAAAAATTTGTACACCTGTTTATTCACACCAGTGTAATGTTACACTACACCAATGACCCAGATTCAGGTTATATTTCCTACAAAGCACTTTGAAAGATTCTGATAACATTCTGTGAAGATTTCTAGGAAAGAGTTGATAGATTTAGAGGCAGCATTTCTTCTACTCTGAAAGGTAAAGGTCTTGACATTCATTTCTCATAAGAAAGGAATTTATCAAAGTAGCAATAAAAGATAAGGCTGGAATTAGTAACCCAAGGTCTTTGAACCCTGAAGTTTGGTATATGTATTTGGATTAAGCTTTTACTAGGGAGAGTCAAGATATTTTGTCTGTTTTTCAATAATAACCAATAACTCTAGAAAGTATATTTTAATTTTAAATTATATAAGAGGAAATTGAGACCAGTGAGGTTAAATTACTTGTCAGGGATTTCACAGACAGCAAATGGCAGAGCTGTGATTTGAATCTTTATGTATGTGTGTTTAAATTAAACTGTATCTTCCATGCTTTTTCCATTTAATACATCCTACTTAGGTGAAAAATGGTTATATTCTAGGAAAAGTCATGATAGTATAGCCCAAGAAGGAATGAGAAATTTCAATACATGTCCCTAGAATATTTAGTCATAGGCTTTAGCTAAGGAGTTCTTAACCTGAGGTTCTTGAATTAAACTTAGAAGATCCATGAATTAGGATGGGGAAAAAAATCCATATTTTATTTTAACTAATGACAATTTCCTTCAATTATGATATATGTTATAGATAACTCACAGAAATACCTGTGACTTAGTCACCAATAGAAGCCACAGGGCTGGGCATGGCGGCTCACGCCTGTAATTCCAGCACTTTGGAAGGCTGAGGCAGGTAGATCACGAGGTCAGGAGTTCAAGACCAGGGTGGCCGACATGGTGAAACCCCATCTCTACTAAAAAGTAAAAATAAAAAAATTAGCTGGGCATGGTGGCTTGTACCTGTAATCCCAGCTACTTGGGAGGGTGAGGTAGGAGAATTGCTAGAACTAGGACTTGGGAGGTGGAGGTTGCAATGAGCAAGATCACGCCACTGCACTCCAGCCTAGGCTACAGAGCGAGACTCCATCTCAAAAAAAAAAAGAAAAGAAACCACAAATATTTTCATATAATATAGTCATCACGGATATCTCAAAATAACATTTTACTCATTACTACTTCCAAATTACAATAATTAGTAGATACACCATTAATGCTTGTTATGTAATGTGTTAATAAAGAAGCACATTTTTACTAACACATTTTTTTTTATTATTTTGATAGCACCACTTAAAGATTATTTTTTTCCCTGTAATCCCATGTATTTGTTCTCATGCATTTAAAGGCATTTTCCTGTAGGCTTCGCTAGACTTCCAAAGGGTCCCTGGAACAATAACAAAAATTCAAGAAACCCTGATTTTGGTGTTACATCAGCATTTCATCATTTCTAGACTTTTTAAAAAATTCACTGAACATTAAACCAGTAACTCAGGATTTCATTATATATTATTTATTGAGAAGAAAATTTACAAAAATCATTACTCATCTGGTAGAATGTGAACTTTTCTAGCTTTCAGAAATGTTTCTAGCTTCTTACTATTTTATTATTTCTGTTCATCACTAGTTATATTCTGTAATAGACTGTCTCAACTTATCACGCCTCTGAACTGCCACAGATACTGTTTGGTGTAGAATTTAGAAGAAAGAATTTTGGAGACACTCTTAGCTTTGTACACCAACTTCACTTAATGGTGCACAATAAAGTGGCCTTGCAAAAGGTACATAATAATCCCGAAACCCGCTTCTTCACCTGTAAAATGGGAATAAATAGGGTGGGTACGCAACATATACAACAATAAATGTAAAGCACTTAGCATAACATCACAAGTAGTAACAATAATATTCATTGAAGTTGGTCCTGTGTATGGCCTTACGCTTTCTATTCCAGTCTTTCTGAACCTCTTGAGTTAAATAGAGACAGTAATTTTGGTGTGGACAACTTGAGTAAAGTTTTTGCCCCATGGACTAAGGGACCAGAGAGCAGTGTCATAAAGCATGGTGGTGGGATTTTGAATGTGATAGATCATGAAGGAGTTTGACTTAAGGAGCTTTATGGACTCCAAGAATAGAGATCAGCATAGACACTTGTAAGTGTACCCAGCCTTCTTGCTTCCAGAGACTAAGAAGCAGCTAACCATCTGAGTTGCATCACTATTTATGACAGGAATTTCAGATACAGGAGGCTTTTTCTTATTCTTATCCTCTTATTCTCTCAGCAAGATCTGGTAGTTCATCTGTGTCTGGATTTTCACTATCTGTAGGACTACCAGCTTTTGGATTATATTAATAATCAGGCTTGAACCCAAGTGACACAACAACAACAAAAAAGTATCTAAGGGAGTCCAGCAGTGAGACAGGATCAGTCTGAACAAATAGACACTTACCTGATGAAACAGAATGCCTGTAAGAGACAGATGACAACTAAACCAAGAAAAAAAAGTCAGCTGTCATGCCACTGGTTGTCTAATCCAGTTATAATCTGGTTATACTCATCCCTTTTGCTCAAGGTAAAAGTGAATATTCCCCAGTTGAATAATAATTGATCTAAGCCAATCATAAAATTCCATTTCCCTTGTCAGTGATTGATTTCAGTTGGACAGATGCTCCATTCCTGGTCAGTTGGATCTGAGGGAAAAATCTTCTGGGAGATTTTTGCTAAAAGTTTTGGTCACTAACAAGAAGAGACACACTGGCTGAAGTGCTCCCTTTTTCACTGGGTGTTGTTTAATCTGCCTGTGGTGTTTGGAATTACTGTAGCCATTGTGTGACCAT